GAGACTCGTCTGAAGGCGATGAAATTCAAGGGCACGCAGATGAGACAGAAGAAACTGACAGAGATGATTGAGCAGAAGGTGGTGGAAGCGAATCAAGTGTGTGGCGAGGACGAGACCTCCTACGAGTGCAAGGTGGCATGGGATGAAGTGGAAGAAATTAGCCAAGCGAAGGCCGATCTCCGCCTCAAGCTCGAGAAATTATAGCAAGATACACTCGAGTCTTTCTACTAGGAGAATCCTGAGACCAATGAGTGTCGGATTTATGAAGATTGATTATTTGTGTACCAGTGTAGAACCCTAGTTACAAAATTGCTAAAAATTCCCAATTACTCTTATGAGTGGATGCATAGGTGGTTGTTCTGTAATGCAATCAATGTTATGTTAAATTACTGAAGTGTAGTTTGCTAATATCGAGTAAATTATTAATAATTTTTTAGGAGGAGTAATATATTTAACACGAGTTAGAAATTCTGGGAGCCGGGAGAGATGAGAGAGAGAGAGAGAGGAAGGAGAAAGAGACGAGAGACGGGGGAAGAAAGAGAATGGGTTTTCCAATTTTTGATTTTTGAAAACAATTTTTCAAAATGCCAAAAAGAAAACATTTTCAACAATTTCAAATGGACGCTTAAAAACAAAACTCAAAATGAATTCAAAATTGAAACACAAAGAGAAGATCCCCTTATTAGTTTATATTTGTTAATGAGTTTCAATTCATAGAATGTTATATGCCAATGAGGATAATGGCTACAAATTCCTATGAAATTCTCATATTCATCCTCGATACATTTGAGGTTAATTATGTGAATCCTCTTTTGACCTTTCAGTTCATTGTTATCTATTAAAAGATCTAATGAAATCTAATGTTTTGCATTCATATTGGACCATGTTAGTTTTTGGTCTACCTTTCTCTTTTAACATATTCTATCAGGATCTCACCGCTCTTGTGAATGAGAGTTTGTTTAGGTCTGTATAAGACTTGTTTCAATTCTCTATGTTGTAATGCCCTTAATTTGTTGTCAATTGGTGTCACCTCCACTTGGTGGTGTATATTATCATTCCTTATTAATAGTCAAACTTAAAATTCCTAAGTAATTACTTTGAGACTATGATCATCTATCATGATTTCCTACTATGAAAATAATACCATTTATTTTATTGATCTTATTCCTTGGAGCTTTGTTATACAATTGTTGTATGATTTAATGAGCTTTACCAGGTCTGACTTTGCTGGTTATATGTCCAAGAAACCAGATCCATGATTATTTCTCAATACCTGTAAATTTGGTTTGAGCTGAGAGGGAGGAGAGCAGGCTTGACTTTGGTCTGAAGTTCTTCATAATGATTGGATATTGAGTGTGAAATCTATTGTACAGTAATCTCGAAAAATCAATTGTGAAAAAATCACCGCTTCTGGTTTTGTTTCCTTTCATGACAAAAATTTGAAATTTAGTTATTCTTGTTTTATTGAACAACTTCAGTTCAGGCAAATTGTTACTTGTTTAGATTGAATACGGCTCTGTTTTCATGCTTGCATTACTTTTGCAGATGAATTATCACGACATCTGATATTCTTGGTGAATGAAGAATTCTTTCACGCGGGGGCAGATCTTTTCTCGATCTTTCTTCCTTTTATATCAATAATCACCAGGATGTTCGTTCTGATTGTGTGAATGCTTAGTACTTTTTTAGCTGAAGCCATGCTCCTGTTTGGCTTTTTTTTTTTTTGGGACTGAATCAGACTTGCATGGTTGATGCTGTTGTCTGAATCTTTTCTCAATGCATGACAGAAAATAATCAAATTATTGAGGATTGGGACCATGCCCAATTATTACAGTCTATGGATAAATTCCCTGGATTATTAATATTTTTATTATTATTTTGTAAAAATAAGTATGACTGGCTATTTGACATGTGCAATTTCTTTTCCATCGATACATCTTGCAATATGTGCTTGAATTCATTGTGTTGCAGACATTTTTTGAACTTCTATTTCTGGCACTTCTACAAAATGCATTCATGTGATTCAGCCAATTGTCTTAATTGGCTTAATTGTGGAATATCATCGAGAAATGGGAAACCGTCATTTTCAAAAGAGTAATGTTGTGCAGCACCTATAGCATTTGTCTGTGTCATCTAGACGTGCAAAACTCTTTACTTAGCCATTAAATCTAGGGCGAACGATGTTTGGCTTGGGTGGTTTGTGTCATATTTTTAACTTGAATCATTTTATGCCGTTTGAAATTTTTTCAAACCAAAAGAAACCAATTCAAACCATTTTATTTTTAAAATCAAACAAACAGACAAAAACAAATCATTGTTTGTCGTTTGGTTCGGTTTTAGTATGTGGTTTACTTATAAATTGCATGTTTTCTTCGTCCAAGTCATTTATCATAAATATAAATTGTATGTTTTCCCACTCCACAGACCACCATACTGTCAACAAAATCAAAGACCTAAAAAGGATGATTTTTATAAGAGAAATATTAGAAATTGTTAAAAACATGTGGTGTCAATTTTAATAATGTGAAGATCAAGACTCGTGAATATATTTATATTTGTTTAACAAGTTTACATATCAAAAATGACGTATGGGGTGCAGTAATTATTCTCTTTTCTTAGTAAAATACATGGCAGATATCACAGATGTTGTATGATTAGCATTGTTTCACAAACAATATAGGTATATGGAAAAAAAAAAACTTCATCAGCTAAAAGGAAATCGAGGTTGTAATCAATTCTTGTGTTAACAAGAAGTTTGATAGGCAAAAACTAAACTATTTTACAATGGTTTGATTTGGTTTTGTGCAATTTTTGAAAATCGAAATTTAAATCAAACCATTTTGAAACGGTTTGGTTTCATTTGAGGGGAAACAACTGCGTGGGCTCAAACCAACGGCTTCAAACCAATGAGTTCGGTTCGGTTTGTGATTTTTTTTTTTGGCTCCAATTAAAATGATTTGGTTTACAACTGTTGGTCATTCACAATATTATTTTACGTTCTTGTGCTTTTTGACGTATTGAAAACTGAAAGTGATTGGAGCCAAAAGGTAAATTTTTATAAAAGCTCTTTTTTAAGAGAATGAAAAAAGGTCCTATTTTTTATTTTTCTTAAGAACTTGAATTTTTATAAAAAGCTATTATTTAAGAGACTGAATAAAAGGTCCTATTTTTTATTTTTCTTAAGAACTCGTTTCTTTGAGCTTGTTAGGCATAGCTAAATTAGAAAATTATGTTTCATCAAATTCATTTTTAATTAAAATTTTTTTCAATAACATAATTTTAAATTTGGAGTTAAAACTTTCTTACTTTTAATTACACATTCTTAAAAAGAAAAAATCATTTTCACTTCAAAAAAAATTTCTTTTAAACAAACACTTATTAGCTATTGTAACCACAGGATGTCTAGGGCATGAATAGAGACGGCAACGGGGCGGGGCACCCGGCAGCGGGCGTGGGTTTGCCCAGTTTCTTGCCCTCTTTTTTTTTTTTTTTTTTAATTTTCAGTTAAAATACAAATTTTAAATTTTAAAATCTAGAGCAAATAATGTTCAAACTAATTACATCAATATCTAAAAGCATTCGAAACAAAGAATGTCCAAAATAACTTATTTTTTTAAATTCTTCACGGGATGGGGCATCTCTGCCCCGCCTCGCCAACCCATTCGGGGCGGGGCGAAAAAAATTGCCAACCCTATGAAGTGTGGCATGTACTCTGCTCTTGCACTACTTCTATTTGAGTTTTCATCATATGGTTGTAATGACCTGAGCTAATAAAAGTATTGGTAGTGTTAAAATATAAAAATAAAGAAAGACATGTTTTAGAAATTTTTTTTTTTCAGAAAAAATAATTTTTATCTCCTCACTACTTTGATCTTAGTAACATTTCCTCTAAAACCTTATAAGCTGTTTCAGGAAAATTTAAATAAACTATATTTTCAATTATTTACAAGATCTCATCATTTGACCATAAAATAATTATGATCATCATTTCTTTTTATACTCGTTCAACACATTGAATTAAAAAAAAAAAATCCCAAATAAAAACTCTGCACGAACAAGGAGCACGAAGCACTGAATAAAATAACGAAAACTACAGCATTCCTCAAAATGTGTTTGGCTAAGTTTAATATAAAGAAAAATACCCTTTTTAAAAAGTAACTAGAAACTTCCTTTTAAAAATACCCTTGTTTAACCAGATCCACAACTTTTCAAATCATACATTTCATTAACTTTTATAAAAATCTACTAAAAATTTGATTTTCATCCTCACGAATTAAAGGCTTTATAAGCTTAGGCAAACAGAGTCAAAATTTACAATCTCAAACTCTTTTTGACAGTTCCCACTACATATTTGAATCATCGGCACATCACTTCTCTGTAGCAAATGAGAGACGTCAAGGTGTCATATGCCAATATAACAAAAAATGTGTTGATGTATTCCAATTTGCTAAATAGTCATATACAATGTATTGAAGGAACAAGTTCAAGACATCAGATATGGACTCTACGCAAACGATGCCGTATCTTCGTCTATAAGAAGTTTAGGTGAAGAATTGTAAGCCAAACCATCTAACTTGTACAATAATGGATGCTCAGAGATCCATGGGAAAAGATGCCCATATGATATAAGGTCACATAATAATGTATATTTCATGTAGGTAATATGTAATCCACATCGAAATATTTTGCTGCTAATGCCTAAGCTCTTAGGCCAAATAGGATTCTTACGGTTCCAGTTGTATTCAGATCGGCCGACACTCTATTATATGGGAACTACAGTAACTATAAATAGAGCTTTCAGCAAGCTCTTCAGTTCAATTTACATAACAAATAAACACTCTTACATTCTCGTCAATTACATTTCTTACTGAACTGACTTAAGCATTAGAGTGACCTTAAAGGAGCATCCCGCCCCCTTACTGTAGTCATACTTCAGCATTCTCGGAATTGTTTTTTATTTCAAGGTTGTTGACGGTTGCCAATTCTGACTGCTATAGGTTTTACGTCAGAACATTAAAGTGAAAAAGCCAAGAAATGATAAAGGCCAGAACCATGCAAGCAAGTAGAACATTTAAAAGCCGACGACCACGCTGGACGCTTTCAGTCTCGATGACGATCACAGGCATTTCCAATGAAGCTGCATTGGTTGCAATGTTTATGTTGATTGCCTGCTCGCCAACGACGTTCAGTGCAGTGGCACCACAGATTTCGCAAATTCTGCATAAAACAAATACAATGTGGTGAGAAAAGTAGAAAATATACAAGCAGAATACTTAGTGAAGGTATTCAAACAGGAGAGCTCATCATCTGGGATATTATTTGACTGGAAAACGAAAACGAAAACATTAAAAAGAACTAGCTCAAAGAAACCCAATGTTGTCCTCCGAACCCTCCTGATCTTGCAAAACATTTAAATAATGCAACAAAATTACCTGGTTCGGTTAGACACAAATAAGAATTACAGAAAGATTATTGTTAAATCCTGTAGTATTGGAGGCGAGGTATTACACAACCCCCTTCACCGGGCACAGCCACTCTAGGGACAGAGACTTTATTTCAACGAACAGGTATAGTCCATGCCCGACCCCTCACACCATGGATGGTCCATTTACGAAATGGAACAATAAAATCATTGCAGCATTGGCATTCCACTAACAAAATGGATTTCAAGACAGTACAACAAATTGTAACTATGACTCGATATGCACTCCACTTGACATTTAAATTGAAAATTTTGAAGAACAATTAAAGCCAAATTCTGTATAGCACTCATTTCACAAACCGCAGGCAAAAGAATATACAAGAAAGTTTAGAAGGCTTGTATATTTACAATCAAAGATAATATATGTATCTATAAACAGAATATGTATAAGCATAATGTCGAGTTTTTGTATTTGGCAACCTAATTCATCTAGCAGGTAATGTCTTGAAGATGACACCCTGGTCCCCCCACCAAACAAACGTCAATACGGTAATGAAATTCACTTGAAATTAGAACTATTTTCAATTCATTAAAGTGGAAGATTTGTTGTTGTCCTTTGTGAATGTTTGCATTCTGTTGGACAGTTCTGTTTTATTTGATACCATGAGACAATGAAATGACAAAATGTTAGGGAACAAACAATAAACAAGAATGACAGGAGAACTGGACGCCAAGCTGTGGAGCAATATAGTTCTAAAAAATATCATTTTAAATATTCAATCCCAAATTTTCAAATTTACCTACCGATTTCATGTTCTTATTTTTAGCCACTTTTATTCCTCGTAAAAGTTGCAACAAACCAGTCATTGTAGAATAGTTAATTGATCAAATAAGATTGTTGATACTGATTGAAGATGATTTACAAAAAATGGAGAATGTTAAATGCTATCATAATTGTTGTACACAGCTCTTAAGACCAAAGAATCGGGTGGAACATGTTGGGTTGGGGTGGTGGGGGGGGGGGGGGTGAGCTCTCCATTCTTGGTTCTTTACTTCTCAGTTCAGCCGATTAGACGGCCCTTTATTCTCCAAAGAAGATTGATTGGATTTATGAGCTCGAGCTGGAAGGGTCTGTGGCAGGTTAGGTCTATTCACAAAACCAAATAATTGTTTAAAAAGAAAACATGAACTGGTTCTTCATTTTGATTAAATCTTTCAAGAATGTTGTGATAAATCCGAGAAGTCGTGTGGATCGTGGAAATAAAAAGATGGAGGCCAAAGAGCAGAGTCCGAAGAAATAAAATGTCAAAACTCGAATCTCAGCGGTTCATTGCTTGCAAATACTCTGTACTGAGAAACTGGCTAGAACACAAGTTAGGTATCTTAAACATCCAAGCATCAGCATCTACAACTTACTATGAATATGACAACCTGAATGGACGAATCACCGAAAAATGATTCAAGTAGTCGACTCCAAATATAATGGAAAATGGTTTACATTATCGTCGAAGTGTTCGAATGTTATCATACACATCAAGATTATTGCATTCACATATATAAATTGTTTCAGGCATTCAAGTAATCCCATTATATGAGATTTACCAGTGAAATGATAGTATAATTCAATTAATAAGAGTAAAATTATTGAACAAAAAAACAAATGCACATGAATTTGAACTCACGTGTCTCCCTTGATCTTGAACCAGGTTTCAGCACAGTTCTTGTGAGCAGCTCCCAAATCACCTTTACAGTTACAACCCAATTCAATCAAAACTTCATCGAATTCTTCAACTCCTCGGCCCAAATCGCAATTTACATTTTCTTCCGAGCTCAATTGGCAAATTCTACAGTCTCGAGTCACTCTTTTTTCCTCTAAATTGTTCTGCATTTTCAGTTCCAACTCACCAGATTCTAGATCAATCTCTTCTGAGTCTGAATTCACCGGACAACTGAATTTTTGTCGGCGAACGCCCTTGGCCCGTTTAGAGAAGCTGCATTTTTCACGCTGCTCAACAGCCTCGGCGGCGGCAGAAGACTGCCATGTGCGGTTGTCGTCCGAGTCAGTGTCGGAAAAGCGAAAGCTGCTTCCATCTGTGGTTGTCTCGCTACTGCATGCCATAGAGGGTCTCCTCCGCCGTCTGCGGTGACGACGCTGACGGCGAACTTCATTACCAACACAAAACTTTGCTTCTATATCCACGGGGGTAGTCGACATTTTGGCCCAAAATCACAGTCTTGAATACACAGAGAAAAAGGAAAAGTTTAATCATCATCAATATTCATCACAGAAAATGTGGTTTAAAGTTAGTGTCTTTGTAACAGAACTATATAGATATAGAGAAAGAGAAAGAGAGTGACCGTGATAGTGATGGTGATAGAGAGAGACACATGGGCAAAATCAGTACGCGTGATATCATTTCGTAAGGGCAGTATTCGGCTGGGTCTGGCTGTACACCCATGGTGTACAAATAATTTGACAACGTCAAAATCGAGCCATTCAAATCAACGGTAGATCTGTGTGTCATATTAAAGAGTGTAAATAGAACTATCAACCACGATATAAGTATAGCAAAACTAATTCGCAATTGTATGAAAAAGTTGGAGTTCTTTCAAGAGAGTTTGATTAAGATGTATATCTATATTAGCATTCACTTAAGAGAGAGTTGCAAGAAATGTCCACTTTCATACGGTCATTTGCAAAAATGTTCAAAATTTGTTCAATGTCTATTTTGCAATAATTTATACCAAAATACCATCGTTAGCAATTTTCAATTCCACACTATAGATAACAAAATTTTCCAAAATTTGTTCAATGTCTATTTTGCAATAATTTAGACCAAAATACCATTGTTAGCAATTTTCAATTCCATACTAAAGATAAAATTTTTCATACAATTAAAAATTGTGTTGGTCAATAAGATTTTAACACAACATATACTACTTATTTCAAAAAGTGCAAATGTGAATTCACATTAAATACTCACTTATCCCATGGAGTGGGTAAATAAACCGTTTGCCCATCAAAATGATCTGACACACTCAAATCGCTAGTTTTTTACATCTTTTTTTTTATACGGATTATGTTTCTTTTCAAATGGGCGAGTCAGTTTGGATTATGGGTTTTATGATTTATCCATGGAATTCGACCCAACCCTCAATACCCAACCTGTATAATTGAAACAAAATTGAAATTTAACCAACTCCTATCCATTTCTCTTTTTTCTCTTTACCTATGAATTTTATTTCTCCGTCTTCGATTGCTACTGCTCCAACGGCCCAAATCATTGTTGTGAATTGTCAATCGCCAGTTTGTAGTTGCGTGTTGTCTGTTACTCTTTCGATTTCTACCTTAGTTGCCTCTTTATCTAGTCAGATTATCTTAATCCATTTTCTCGATTGTTCTTTCTTCCCCCCACCCCCACCCCACCCCACCCCACCCCACCCCCTTTTTTCTCTTGTTTAACTTTACATTATTTCTTCTATTTTTCATGTTCATTATTTGTATATTCTTTATGATATTTTCTTTGTGTTGTTTTGTTTTGTGAAATTTTCGAGTTTGTTGTTTTGTAAAATTTTAGAAATGAAATATTAAGAGCAAATGAAAACCAATTAACTGAAGGTTAAAATGATAATGATATTAAATGAAGAGTTAAATGAAAGTAAGTGGAGATACAAACTGTTATCATCAATTAACAAGAATCATACTACATGTACAACATTGATTGACAACATCCTATTTGACATCATCATGTCCATCCATTTTAAAAAACTTTTTTCTACATCACATGCTAAGATTTTGACAACATGTGGTTGTCAACCATTGTTGTCAAACAATGTTGTACATTTAAATTTATTCAATTAACAATCCTATTAAGTGTGTACTAACTATAGTAGTGCATTGAGGTAACAAGCACAAATTCTCAAACCTATGTCACTTCGAATAACAATTGATGTTGCTTGGTTCCCAAACTACTTTCACTTGTCATCCATGTTGACGAATGTACC